ACAATGCAAGGCCCCATACTGCCCGTACAACAGTTGCGACAATCAATGACCTGCATTTTCAGTGTCTTCCTCATCTGGCATACTCACCAGACCTTGCCCCAAGTGATTTCCATATGTTTGGACCACTCAAAGAAGCAATGGGTTGAAAGACGTTCTGTTATGATGAAGAGGTACGCCACGCAGTGCATGAGTTGTTGCGTGGACTACCAAAAGAATTTTTTTCTAAAGGAATTCATGCACTTTGTAAGCTCTGGAGGACTTGCATTGAGTGCGGGGGAGATTATGTTGAAAAGTGATACAGCTTTGTACCGCTTGTGCACAATAAATAATACTCAAAAAAATATTTAAGTTTTTCATTTGACTCACCTACATACGAGGGGGTACCCAAAAGAAACCGAACTTATTTTTTTTTAAACTTCTTTATTCAAATTTTAAGCACAAACCTTCAATCCCCTTCAAAGTACTCTCCACTTACACTAATACACTTGTCTAGTCTTTTATTCCATTTTTCAAAACATTGTCTAAATTCATCGTTTGAGATGCCTGACAGCGCCTCCGTCGTTTTTTTCCTGCACCTCAGCAACATCAGCAAAACGCTGAAAAAAAGTTTCGATCATTTCGGGACTCTTCTTTCAAAGCACAGCATGCTTCCACGCGACCTTGTTTTTGTTCAGCAGTCAGCAGTCGTGGCACGAATTTCGCAGCCACCCTTTTCATTCCCAAATCTTCTGTCAAAATTCGCTGAACTGAGCTCCAAGTCACTCCCGACAGCTCCACAATTTCTTCAATGGTCCGTCGTCGATCTTCCTTGATGATTTCACGAATTTTTTCAACATTTTCATGTGTTCGGGCCATTGCAAAAACGACGATCACACAAAACAGTTGTCACTATAAACTCTGCCGAAACTAGTCCTTACCTTCTGAAGCAACGGTAGTCTGCTTATCGACACAGGAATGTTAGCTCTATGCGCTCATAGCGGCAAAATGCGGTACTACAAAAGCTCTGCCCACAAAAAATTAGTTCGGTTTCTTTTGGGTACCCCATCGTATAATGAATGGTAAGAAATTTATGAAATTATCACGTGTAGGGGTTTGCGCTTCACTTATTAGACAGGTTCTGGATTGGATGTTTGGATTTATTGCCACCTTAGACATTCATCTCAGGACTACAGGCAATTTTAGCACTACCGCTGTTTCCACATGCTTTACAATTCACTATTACACATGCACTGGGTTTCTCAGTCTTCACTAGTCATATCCTGACAATGGATTCATAGCAGTCTCACTGTCACTTCAGATCACACATGAATTCTTTTCACTGTCTAATCCTTTCTTGCCATTGTTCTGCAACTGCCTATTCCTCTGCTCCCAAAGTTATATCCTGGTGGGTTGGTGTCTCGAAGCTTGATTCAGTTCAACTGAACTCTTCTTTATAACCACTTCGCACAGACCATGCATAAAACACAGCCACTCTGCTGTTGGGAAGGCGTGTTGCTCAATTGTTGCTTGCATATTCAGTGCCACAGGAATGTGTTTACTTAGTCCTTGCCTAGCAATGAACTTCTATTCTTCCTTTTTGTTATGGCTTTCAGGCATTATGTCACAATATTGATGATTTTGTTTGCTGTAATGGGATTCTTGTTATAAGCCTTACTCATTTTCTTATATCTGCACTTTGTAACAATTCTATCAAAGGTGTATGCAGTGGTTAAAGCTAGTGTTGTCAATGATTGAACTATTCAACTGGAGACCTGTGACATTATATATGGAAACAAAATTACTGTCACATGTTAGTGACTAGACACAAGGTTTTATCGACAGTTGGATTTATTGGACACTTGTGGGCTACCTCCTCACTAGTTGTTGGTTGGCAGCAGCCCTTTTCACTCTAGTCCTTTGCCAAATCTCTAACATCTCATAACTGATTCTCAGCTGCGTGAGAAACACTGCATCCCACATTTACTTCGTTGTTGCATGATGATTCATTGCCGTGGAAATGTGTTTACCAGCCATTGCATAGCAACAGGTGACTTCTGTTGTTAAACTGTTGAGTGATGTCACAGCACTTTCAAGGCTTAGAATAGTCAGAGCTGGAAATGAGATTATGAACTTCATGTAAAGTAAAATCTCTTATATGGTAGTATTTTAACAGAATATTATTAATTTTCCTTTGTATGCATTTGCTAAGCAAGTGAGTGATTGAGTTTAGAGGCATATCAGCATCAGTGACTCTATGCACTTGGATAATAATTTAGAAATATAACGTTCTATTATACCTAGCACAAAATTAAATAGAATTAATATTGTAACATAGATACTCATTGCTAGGCAATCGCTGGGTAAACACTTTCCCACTTAAGCACTTAACAACAATAACATACGTCCAGTGCTAGACAATGTATCTGTAAACACACAGCTATAATGGTATGAACAAGAATGAAATGTGTTTCTACGGGGCCCATGCCAAAGGTTTGTAGGGCCCAATGAAGACCATTTGGAGTCAGTCATAGAATGAAAAGCAGAAGGAAGCGACACCTCAGCATTGAGTGTTAGCTGTTATAAGTGACTGTAAAGAAGTGCCAGTAAACCCAATCATTAAATCCAGAACCTATTGTTATTCATCATGCCAACCTCTTACACTCGACAATATGTTAGAAAGTAAAGTGGTTTAACAGTAATAGAAGAATAATAAAATTTGAATTAAGAAGTCCTGGCCCTTTCCATCCTCCCAGCCCTAATAGGATTGACTGCTCAAGGACTGATTATCTTCCAGGAGAAACTTCAATCACATTTTCATTGGAGGACACCAATCACAGCTGAAGGTCGTGGCCCACCTTTACCTTTGTTTAACCGTTCAGTGTGGTTTGACGTGTATGTTTCGTCAGGTATTTAAATCGTCTGCGGGGGTTCGACGTCTGTGTTTCGTCCAGCTGCACACCTATATTATAACGCCCATAATAATTGATGGTTTTGCTGTAGATTGTTAGATTTTTCGCTGGCCTGTTGTCAGGAGAACCGTATATAATGAGGCATGAGTTTAGCTGCGCTAAGTCATCGTTACATATGCCTGTCTTGCAGCAAAATTCCTGTTGCTCTTGGAAGAAATTTCCTCATTCAAACTGTTATGAATGGCGTGTTTTCTTTCCTAGGAAGTTATAAACAGCAGAGAGTGATATGTGCTGTGTTTATAATATCATATTGCCCTGAGCTGGCCACACTAACACACTCAATTGGAATTCTTAGAAGAGGGATGTCCAAAAATTTATTCTTGCAAGATCGATTGATTTCGCACAGTACATAGCAGCCAGTTCTTAGAATAACGTCTCGAATTAAGGCAGAACACTGTGGTCACCCCCTGTGACGATATGGGTGTGTGTGNTTAAATGGCCGCGCGAAAGGGTTAATATTGATCCTACATATCAGAGCCTTCACTGTTTACTAGGTTTCCTTGGAGGACCAATGTAACCAAGCTTCTTGATGACAGCCACCCCACAGTATGTCACCACCAGTACTTCTCCCTTCATATATGTTACACATACATCAACACAGTATAAACTGAAACAACTGCAATATAGAAATCAAAACATGACACAATTCATGCAGCTCCCAGACCAGCAGCAAATGACATGTTGGCAGTCTGTATCTTATGTCTTAGGGCACTGTTAATACATGTAAATAAAATTTTTAAGTGTACCAGACAATCTTCACAAAACAATTATTAATAAAATGCCTAATTTTAGCATTCAGAATAGAAAATATTTCCTTTGCCACAGAATAATGAAGTTTTCTGTACATAAATACTTTCCACACAGCTTTTGTGAGTTTCATTCAGATCTGTGAATCCATTTTTACCCATTTTTTTAAATGTCTCTTGGTTGGGGGGGGGGAGTTGGTATATGGTCAGTCACGTAAAATTTATGTTCCATCAGAATGCAGTATTCAGGACTGTTATACGTTACAGATATATGTGAGCATGGGTGGTGCTTTTATAAATATTCGGACTAGGCTGAATTTCGCTCTTAATTTAAAAGAAGTCTTTGTTTCCAGAACAGAACATTTCAGTACATTAGATGTTTCTAACAGAGGTCTGGATGAATGAGGCATTGTGTTCTGAGGTGACATCAGGTTATAGACAGATCATGTAACAGAACAAGTTGTTAAGATTATGGACTTCTGAGGATGTGTTGACAGGTACCGATGTTTCAGAGGAATCTTCGCCCTGCATGTTCGGGGTAGATTCCTCCAAAACATTGGTACATTTCTTATGAGCTACACAATGTCACATCACTGAAATCTCAGTTAACTTCTCTGAAAACCTCACACAGAACAGATCCTGTTGTGTGATTAATATTGTAACGTGTTTCGTTACTGAAGACGCCGTAGAGATGGTTAATTGGTTTATTTAACAATCTTCAAATAACGGCTACAATTAATTATCACAATATTACGGGTTTCCACACTTTACAAACCCTAGAACAAAATCTCTTAACACTCTCTTCGAGAGTCTTCACGTACTAATAATGCGGGAGCTATACAAGTCTCCCTGAATTACACACTCCAGATATGACTGGTTATCACTGGTTATCGCACACGCGGCTGTAGCTCATAACTTGCGAACTGAGAAGTTGATAACGCACTCGGCGACTGTCACAGTACAACTGACTGTGAATAGCCTTCGCTGCTCCTTATGTAGCCTCGATCGGACAATACGGCCATGTAATAGGCACCCTTGTTGCCTGGCGCTGTGTTGCTAGCAACGCAAGCGGTAGTAACCGCTGTTACTACTGTAACAATCTGGTTGCGTCACCGTTACGTTACCGTGCGGAGGAGGGGGAGGGGAGCGCTGACTCACCCGCCGCGTCACTGCTGGTGGGGGGGGTTCTCTTTTGCGCAACATGTCACAATATATATAATCCCCCCCCAAACTTCACAAATTGGAAAGAAGAGGAATTGTATTGTTTGAGGGGCTCTCCTCCTTGGGGTCTTTGTGTGTGTGTGCGTGCGTGCTTGTAATGGAGGAGAGAAGAATTTAATTAAAAAGAATCACTGTCAGCTTGAAAGATGAATATTATTCATCATTCATAGTGTTTTACAGTTGTTACAATGGAGAATCATTTCAGAAACCTTCCCAAATTTCGTTTTCCATTGTGGTTGATATTTTTAAGATCTTGGAATCCTATGAGCACTCACCCTGTCAGTGTCATCTTTCCAGTTTCTTCTTTATTCTATAAATTCTTTTATTTATGCAACCTCTAGTTCTCTCATTAGATTAATTATTTGAATGTCTATACTTTGAATTGCCAGTCACAGTAGCCAAGCGGTTTAAGGCAAGTACTGTCTTCACTCACTTGGAAGCCAGAATAGTGGGTTCAAATCCCACACAAGGCATGGATGTTTGGTATGTGTATGTGTTTATTCTGTGTTTGTGTTGTCCTTTGTTTAGGTAGAGGCCTTGTGATGACCTGATCTCCCATCCAAGGAGTCCTACTGTTTGTAAAGATGATCATGAAACTGAGAAATCAGCCCCATGCTCCAAATTGGGAGTGAAAGGAGAGGAAAAATATACTTTGAGTTGGAAAATGACCCACAGTACTATACCTTGAGAGAATATTACCTAATTAGATTTATAGTAATTCCATGAAACAGCTGTGCCTTCATAAATTGTTTTCTCCTTCACACCAGGAGATTGTGTGTATGGTGAGAAGGCAGAACCAGCAGTAACAATAACAAAAGAAGATTTATATTATGTTATTTCAAGCATGTGCTCAATGTATATGCTTCTGTTTATTGCAGGAATTGGTCTCCAGCATCTATAGCCTATTTATTTCATTTGCGGAAACTCATTCTAGACTCTTGCTGGATTCACTGTTGAGCGATGACGAGAAGACTAATGTCATGCAGTTGATACAGCTAATACTGCAGTGCAGCAACAGTCCTGGAGAATATGCCCTCGAGGAGAACACAAGTCAGTTGGCACTAGGCTTCTGGTACATTCTGCAGGTATGATGATTTTCATACTGCAGATCTGAATGTTACTTAACACTTCGCGGACCAGACGCCTAGGCCTAGGCGTTTGGGTTTTGAACATGGCAGACCAGTCGCCTAGATTTAGGCTTTTAGGACACGTTATATTGCAACACACTATTCCTCGCTTTGGTGGCCACGTGTCTGTAAAAGTACTGCGTAGCTGACCTTCGGAATGTTTGTTTTCCGAGTCAGCAACGTGACCACTCTCTATTCCCCTCTCACTCTAAAGAAAAGTCCCTTTGTTCAAGTCGAAGCTTCTATGTGTGAGGCAAGATATTCTCAGTGTCGACATGGCTCAGAGACGAAAGCAGTTGAAAGCCGCGCGAGCTCTCAGAGAAGAAGAAATCTGTGATTTGATCTCCGATGAGTTATCTGACTTGCCAACTGCTTCGTCTTCTGATAGCGAGGGCAGTGTCAGTGGCAGTGACAGGGGCCCCCAAAATATTGTGACCAGAATAGAAAGTGAAAGTGACAGTGAGAGCTCCGATGAAAGTGCGAGTGCTAGCATTGTGGGGACAGCCACATGGGGTAAAGTAGACTAAACACCTGCTTTGAGACAGTTTACTTGAAATCCAGAGGTAAGCAAAGGATACATTTGTTACGGTTTACCAGTGTAAGCAGGAATGGCGTAATCACAAAGTGTCTGTGTCGTGTTTATAAAAGTTTCGCATTAAAGCAGTGAGTACTTTGTTGGAAGATATAAGAAATAGATTATAGTCAGTAAAGTTTGTGGCCCTCAAAATCCACGTGATCTTTATGAAAACTCGACCCCATTGCTACACTTATACACTGTCCCAATTCCATAAAACCTGATCATGGGCAAAATCACGTCGCGACAAATTAACCTATATAATCTTACATTGTGCCATTGTCAATCAATTTTTGGTTTTCAAAACTCTAAACCTTCATTCAAAATTGAAATATGAGGCATTTCTGCTGAATGTGGCAAAAGCCTGGCTACAGACCACACCGTAGTGGCAGAACCGGCGGCAGACACAGTCTTAGCGCGACCAGGCCCGTCTACCCCCCACCCCACGCAGGCCTTATTTTTACCCCCCTGGGCGACTCTCGGGTGATATGCGGAAACATACGCTCGCGAAAATTGTGAAGAGTGAACATTTCAAGGGGAAGCAGCCTTCTAGGAAATGCCGTGTTTGCGCATTTCACAAGAAAAGGAGTAGGACTGCCTACATTTGCAGGTTTTGTGTAATTCCACTTTACAGAGGGGAATGTTTCAAGAAATATCACAACCTCAAGCACTTCTAGGAGCATTGGTAAGTGATCTCCAAAAATTTTAGTTCATAAAATTAATTGGGAGATTTTATATTAATTTTTAAAGTGAACAGTGCACAAGTTAGGGTAGTAAGTTTAAAAATGCTGGTCCCCAGGGAGATTTAAATATTTAAATTGCCGGTCTGCAAAGTGTTAATGCTGATATGTAAAGAGCAGAATGCTCTGCTTGCTGCTTGCAGAAGTAATATTCATCCCTGAAAGTGGAGTACATACCTCCAATATGTCACTGAACTTCTCCCAGACTATATGGCAGGACATCCAGAAGATGTAGTTCGTAGTTACTGCTGTAAGAACCCTGAATTCAACTTGACATGAGAAGCCAGGAAGATACATGTAGCTATCTCCTAGTACTGGTGTTAATGAAACCAGTAACATCTATCTGAAGGATTATTGTCTTCTGGGATGTGATGCTGTGTAGTCTGGCTAGAATGTTATCACTGTTTTGAAGGAACCTGCTGCCTCCATCTTCAGGGTGGTGGATGGAGTCATCAAGTTCTTCTAAAAATTAGTAACTTTTTACAAAACTGCATGGTGTGATTTCCCAGAAGACTGTTGTCATTATCCTTTGAGATCCTCAAATATATCAGGTCAAATTGTTTGTTCCTTTGTAGAAGGTTCATATACCACAAATGCTTTGTCCCCCAGTTTATCTTGATACCTCAGTTTCCTTGTGCCTCTTTTATGTCAGCTTTTAAGTTATGTTGTGCTTTTCATGAAACCATGTAAGTGTTTGTAAACAGATTTTTTTAAATTCTGGTATGCTCTGGTATTCTCTTATGTCAGCTTTTAAGTTAGGTTGTGCTCTTCATGAAACCGTGTAAGTGTTCGTAAATAAAGCTAGTCAACACAGTTGTGATAACATAAACCGATTTTTTTAAATTATTCTGGTATGCTGATTCCACATCGTGATATAACATTTTTGTGTCCAGTCACACAGATGTTGAATTTGAGTCAGTTCATTGTTTTCTATTTTTCTTTTTTTCACTTTCTTATTTTGTTCTTAGCCTTCATCCACATCGAAAACCAACTCTTCTTGTTTGTTTGCGCCAGTGTTACATAAATATTTTTCTGTACCAGAATCAGCCTAACCACTGATTTGAGGTACATTGAATTAAGGTTCATAAGGTCCTAAACATGAAGTCTGCAGCAGTTTAAATATTTTAAATGCACAATTGTGTAACATAATGTGGACATAATCTTAAGTTGTATGGTTGAATTCCTGATGATGCCATGAACTCGCAGCAAAGGATGTCCCTGTGCGTAACTAAGTCTGTCATGAAGACATATGGGAGAGTGGATGTATGGATCCACACAACAAAACATGTAGGTGTTTCTAATTCAAATTTTTTTTTATGATCTGATTATTCATGTACAGTAAACTCCCAGTTATCAAGAATTCTCATCAAGTCTGCAGAAATGTTGAAGAAATTTACCATTTTTGTGGAATAAAGAAATTTGTGATGTTTGTGTGTTCATATGTCACGTGTTAGTTCTCCCAGTTGCCACTAGCAACACTACCCATTATTCCTCTTGCATGTGCCATTACAGTAGAGGGTAGTGGAATTTCTGATTGTGCTACGGTATATCTGTCTGAAATGTTTCATTCATCAGTCCGCTGTGTCACCTAGGAAGACCCTCACTCAAGAATGGAAGGAAAGTGTTAGTGTAAGAGTTGCTTATGCAGCCAGCAGGTTCATGTAACCAGCATGCTCCATACCCCATACATGCCAGATGATGGGAAGTTTACTCTACTGACAATCATTATGACAAATGAAAAACATTTTACTGGTATTCAGGTGGCCAATCACAGTGGCAGCGCAGTCTAAGGCCTGAACTGTCTTTGCCTCTCGAACACTGGGATTGCAAATTCAAATCCCACTCAACGCATGGATGTCTGTTTGCATTTATTCTGTATTTGTGTTGTCCTGTGTGGGGTAGCTGGGTAGCGGCCATCCAAGGAGTCCTACCAACTGTCTTGGGATTAAGAAACTGAGGTGAAACAAAACGTTTCATGGAAGCCCTATACTCCAAAGTGGGAACAACAAGAAAGAGATTGGGAGGGGGGGTTTCAGGTGTACTTGTACGCAGTGTTTGAGGTGGAATGAAAATAGAACCGGGAATGAAAATAGAACCGGGATGCAATCCCACCACATCCCGCCCCACCTCAAGCCCTGGCTATTGTACATTGCATTTACTGCCAAAGAAGTAACGGGATGCTTTTAAGCCATTTAGGAAAGAACCGGGATGCCATCCTGCCCCACCTCAAGCCCTGCTTGTATGAACATTCTTTCTAAGTTACTAAATTGCTTTTGGTCTTTGACTGAAGTTACCTAAAAGTTATTTACGCAGGGATTATGAACGTCTTTTGACAAGAATGAAATACATTATGATTACTGGAGAATCAGCAGTGCCCAAAGAAAATATTAGTTACAGAAAAATGTAAATTCGGATATTATGACCTGCAGATTTCACAGTTCTGTCTATGAGCCCTTTTTGAGAAGCCTCCAGTTGTGCAGCTACTCAAGAACTTCCCAGCAATTTATGGAACCCGAAGGTTCATCACTGTGTTCACAAGAGCCCTCCACTGGTCCCTATCCTGAGCCAGATCGATCCTGTCCATACCACCCCATTCCATCTCTCTAAGATCCATTTTAATATTGTCGACTCACCTACATCCTGGTCTTCCTAGTGGTCTCTTTCCTTCTGGCTTTGCTACCAATATCTTATATGCATTCCTCTTCTCACCCATTCATGCTACATTCCCTGCCCATGTGATCTTCCTAAGCATGATCATTTTAATTATATTTGATTCAATGTCCGAAATGTCATCCATTTTCTTTAGCTTAGGTCGTTTATCCAAAGAATCTGTCCAGGTCTGAGAACCTTTCTGACATTTTGTAACAAGCTTATTTCTTATGGTGAGGAGTTATTGTCCCCATGCCCAATCCCTAAGCTGGAGGACCACCCCTTATCTTTAAAGCAATGTAGTATGTTCTGATAGGATGACCTGNATTTATCCAAAGAATTTGTCCAGGTCTGAGACCCTTTCTGACATTTTGTAACAAGTTTATTTCTTATGGTGAGGCGTTATTGTCCCCATGCCCAATCCCTAAGCTGGAGGACCACCCCCTTATCTTTAAAGCAATGTAGTATGTTCTGATAGGATGACCTGTGTATTTATAGACAGCAGGAAGATTAGTGCACCCAGCCGTGCTTTTGGAAAGCATTGGAAGGGCATCTTGAATTAATCAGTTGTTGATGCAACAGGATGACATCATTGCTTCGGAACCAGAGCAGTTCCACCTGTGTGTGGCCCTGCTGTCTCCAGTGTACAGGAGTCTGGCCGAGGTGATGCTGCGTAAGTCCATGCTTCCTTTTGTAGAGAGTGCCTGGACTTCTGAGGAGAAGGAGCTGCTGCGATGTTACCGGCAAGACATAGCAGACACCATGGTGTGTTCATGTGATCATTCAGAATAATTTACTTATCAAATCAGAATTTCTGTGCAGTGTAACAGTGATTAAATGATTGCAGCTTTTAATGAAAACTTCATTTTAGCAACCAGAATTATTGGTGCCATGAATTTCTCACCATAAAAGACAAAATTATGCATAAAATGGCAGACATATCTAGCAGCTTTATTGTAACAATCCATGACATTCTCTCCCGCCTCCTTGCATGCTGCACTGGCAGTTCATGTATAGTGCCACTTGTAAATTCTCTAATTTGGTTAATGGTATGATGCCAGGTCACTAAAATGGTTGGAATGAAAAGGAATATTTTCTCCACTCCATAAAATCTCAAATGTTTTACTTGTAATCAGCTGTAAACGTTACGTAGCTTATATGTGACAGCGTAAACTGCATGTAGACCAGGCAAAAGAGTCAGTGGGTAGGCACATAGCTCAACTGTATATCACTAACTTGCACTTTTATGCACACATTGCAGTTAAAAGTGAATGAATATGGTTCTATTAATACTGTCAAGTTGTGTGGTTGGATCTTTGTATTCAACACTGGAAAATATGTTTAACCTGCCCTGCACCCCTTTCCCTTGAATTTTGGAATCTATATATGTCTGAGTAGAGAATTTAGCTGACAGTAAATAAGGCAGGAATGCATGACACATATGTGGAGCTATTCTGATATGTGATCAGAAAATACTGGCCAAGTGTTCCTTGGTTGTATTAGGGAACAATGCTTTTATGACCACATTTAGTACAGCTTGACAACTTCATAGGTCTTGTTCCCTCAGTATTTTAGCCAGTGAAAATTGTCTATCACATGATGTCATCTGACCTTCCTCCTCAACCCATTATCTTGTTTCGTTGTGTACTTTATTGCTTGTGTAGTGAACAGAAGTTGAATATTCTTCTGTGATTGTATTTTATATTGTTTGAGCTAAAAACTATCAAAGCCTGACTACAGAAACAAAGTGGAAATGCATGGACTTGAAAACAAAACTTGAAGTAATATATCTTTGTGAAAATGGCAGCTTGTTGGAATAGGAAGATGATGTTCATTGACTTTCACACCATTGTTCAGTGCTTTGAAGAACAAGGGCAAACTATGGTCATCTTTTTTATGTGATAAAAGATTAGCAACACAGAAATAAATGTGGAATTCAGAGAATTTAGATTTGAAATATGCACATATCTAATGGTTTTGCCAGAAAAGATAGACCTACATACCAGCTGATAACTTAAGTAGTCAAGGTAGAAGTCAGCCATTTCATGTTGCACATAAAGATGATGGCTGTACCATTTGAAAAGAAGAATAGGCATTAATATGAATAAGTATCTGACAGACTGCCCGAGTTTGTTACAAGCTTGTAACGCACCTTACATAAGTAACAGTTTGTTTGACTTAGCTTCTTTGTGCATCATATCTGTCTGACAAATTTGATACACACAGTTCTGTCTTCTGAGATACAATGTCATGTAGTCTGCTGAGAGTCAACTGACTTTTCATACAAACATGTTATGCTTCATGTTGGTTCCTTGCTTGGCTTATTTGATGACCCTGAAGATGAAAGCAGCATATTTCTCTCAAACATCAGTTGACTTTCCGTTGACTGAACGGCGTTACATCCCAGAAGATATAGCTGGTCATAACCACTACTATGAGAACCTCAGATTCTAAAAATTGTTGTACAAGTACAAGTACAATGTACAAGTTGTACATTTACTCTCACCCCTGTATGCATGTGTAGGAGATTGTGGGTATAGAATGAACTACATGCAGAATGTTGGTGGCACTTCGATGCTTGTATAGGTTCGTTCCTAAAAAGAAGTTAATTGCTGCGTCTACATGAGGTTATATAAATAGGAGGATGTGTGTTAATGTCTGAGTTTACATAATGTTAAAAGATGTAAAGAGTGTCTAATTATTCTTTGTTATTTTCAGTCTCCAAAAAAAGTCTTCAAAAGAGAATAAATCTTATTGTGCCTTTATTGATCTTTTAAAACTGGTCGTAACTACAATTAATTATGACACTATTGCAGGTTTACACACTTTACAAACCCTACACACTAATCTCTTCACGTTATGTTCAGTATAAAATGCTTTCCATTCTTCTTCCTGCGGCTGTCTTGCACTCACTCCAAATTCTCGCCGGATACACACTTCTGACACCACTTGTCACGTGTTGGGTATGTCACGCGACGATATTGTGTGTGTGGTGCTCAGCACTTAGGACACAGACTAGAAGATTATATAAGATTTGAGGCTTTCACGGCAGTGACTATGAAGAAAGCAGTCTTCTGGGATTTGGCATCGTGTATATGTGGTGTTAACCAACGTTTCAGAGGAACGTATCGCCTCCATCTTCAGGGTAGAAGAAAAAATATAAGAAATCTGCAAGCGAAGAGACCGTGAGAACCGGTAAAAGACCCTGAAGATGGAGGCGATACGTTCCTCCGAAACGTCGGTTAACACCACATATACACGGTGCCAAATCCCAGAAGACTGCTTCCTTGAAGATTATACATTTCAGCAATTTCCAGATAATACATGTTACATTGAGCATTTTTGTGAGTCTTGTATAATCTAATTATATGTAGGTCACACTGTTCATTCTTATTGCATCCTGTAAGTACTGAAAGATTCCTTTCATATCATTAACAAATAACTTGCTCAAAAAATATTGCCATTATTATTTTTTAATATATTTTAAAAGTGACCCACAGACCATTAAAGTGTCAAAATATAGTACAGTGTTATGAATATTATTTAGGTTTTTTGTTCAAGAATGTGAGTAAAATAAAAAGTAAAGCACAAAATTGATGTCAGCAGTCCATGTAATCTTGACCTGTGTATCACTTAAGTAACAATATTTTTATTGGTCATTGTATTAGTAAGTTATTACAAATTAATTATAGTTTTACAGAGTCATGTGATATGTTATATATCTTGTAATGAGTTGTATATATATTAATTCATAAAGCCTTAAAGTTGTTTGAAGCTTTTTGATTTGCATTAAGGTAACATTAATATTATCTGTTGTGTTTGGCCATGCCATAGCTCAAGTGGTTAGTTGCTGGCTTCCAATCACAGCAGCCCAGGTTCGATCCAGGGTCTGGTCAAGTGGGATTTGTGGTGGACAAAGTGGCAGGTTTTCTCCGAGTACTTCGGTTTCCCCTGCCAATCTTCATTCCACCAATTGCTCCACAATCACCCTCACCTATCATCTGGGGCGGGTACAATAGGCCAGAAGTGGCCACAGTACAAGGGACTTAGTCCCACCCTACTAGCAATAAAATAAAATCTGTTGTGTTATGATAATTACGATTTTTGATGTGGAAATTTTCACTGATTTCTAGAGGCGAGTAGTTTACAAATTTGGATATTGTTTGCAGATGTATTGCTATAGTATTTTACGAGATAACTTATTGGAATTACTACATGGTAAATTAGAAGAGGCCCTGGAAAACTGCAGCAGTGACCCAAGAATGTGGTGGAGATCATTGGAGTCATGTTTGCATGCGTTCCAAGCAGTCGCTGAATGTGTTGATATTGATGAGTCGAGACATCTGCCCAGATTTCTAGAAGCTCTACATCGTTTGCCATATCACCAGCTTGACACTCGAGTTGTTATCACAGCTTTGGAAGCTGTTGGTAAGTTATATAATTCAGTATGTATACCTTCTTTTAGTTAAGAAAGTGAGTAAAGTTTAGGCAGTTGTGATTGTTACAGTTACATGTGTGTGTGGAAATTGAAAGGTAGGTTTTGTTACCATCTGTAATTAGTTAACCATATTGTCATATGTTTGAGTGACTGAGTCTCAGGTTTGGATTGGTGAGTCGATCTATTCGATCTTCACTAGTTGTAACTACAAATAATTGTAACACTTTCAAGATTACTGCAATTACAACACACAAAGTCTTCAACTTTGAACTTCTTGTGGCTGTCTCCTATCGAGAACTGAACTGAACTCCTGGTGTTAGTCTGTTGACCTCATTATATAGCCTCTGCATGGACCGTGCACAGAAAGCACTGTTCTATTTTTGCACAATGAAGACCACACAGAGAAGAAGTCACATGATTACTAGCCATTGTCTTCATTGGTGCCCTGTTGCCTAGCAATGCATAATAACATTCTTCCACTGAGACACATCTTCCCTTTGTTGCACGTTGACCATGTTTACTGAGCCGTTACCTAGAAATGCTTTGAGCGAATCCATTGCAATATCATATGAGATTTAAGTCCTTGTACGCAAGACTGACAGCTTGACTTTAAACCAGGTTTTCAAATATTTGTGCATGTATGTGTATATAAACTGTTCTCACAAATATCCAGCACACACATTGATTTTCCAAAAAAAGAATGTCACCAGAGACTGGGGAAAAGTTGACAACACTACTCATTCCAAGCACCATATTCATTTTTAGAACTTCCTCTTCATTTTGTATATTTGTGCAATCACAGTGAAGTAAAGGGTAAGAAAAAAACTATCCCTGTAACAGGCCACAAAGGCCATGAATTATTTTGTTATTTTAATTGATGTGATCTAAATTAACTCATTGAAGTAAATACACCTTTCTAAATTTTTCATAAAATTCTCAGTTAAAAATTGGATGCATCTTATGTGCAAAATAATATGGTATTGTCACATTTAGTGACTAGACACAGGGTTTGGATTGGGAATTAGATTTATTGGACTCTTACAAACCATAACTACAGTTAATTATATTGTTACTGCTAATTCACATGCTCTGCAATTCACTACAGCACACACTAAGTCTTCTCAGTCTGCTTTGTCTTCATCAGTCATTGCTTGGTAACGGCTTCCAACACCATAATTTCCTTAGCTTCCGGGTTCACATGCTTACTGACCAGTGACTGTCTCATGCTTTCTCAACTCCTGGCCACTGACTCCTAGCCATGTCTGGTGTCCACTGCTAGCAGACTTCCTGTCTCTGAACTCAACTGCTAGCCACTAACTAACTTTTCCTGTTGGTCCCCGTTATATAGGCTTAGCATGAACTGTATAAAAATCACCACTTCCAGCAGCTCTTCTATTGTTGTGTGTGCGTATCCATTGCCAAGGAGACGTGATTACAGAGCCTTTGCATAGCGACGGGCATCTCTTCTGGTTCTGGTATTTCGGCTCTGACCTCTCGTGTCACAATATGATAGTTTTGACAGATGAATTATATTATATATGCACTGCTTAATGTATGTTGCAGGGGCTTATGCTGAGTGGATCAATGCACATCCATTTGTGTTGAGCCACATTATACCTCTGCTGGTAACTGGGCTTGGTAGTGGTGACCTTGCTCCATCAGCCACCATGGCCCTGAAGGACCTCACTCGGGACTGTCAGACCAGCATGGCTCCATTTGCACATCACATTCTACAGGCTAGCCAGGTATAGCATTACTGATTGATCATTAGAAAAGTCAGTTTGCCTCTACTGGTTTATTGTTCTAGGCATATTTGTCTCTCATTGTTATGTGTTATACGAAGGGGGACCCAAAAATAACCGGAACCGACCTGTTGCACGCATGCTTTGTAGTTACGAGTTGTGCTGCTAGGTGGTGTTAGCTGGGGGTCTCCCGCGACTGTTAGTGAGCTGGCGTCAGTCTGAGTTAAGTGGTTTGTGTGTGGTGCTCTGTTGTGTGCGTTCCTGTTTCAACCCTTTGGTGATTAGTGAGATGGCCGACCAGAAGGAACAAAGAGTGTGCGTGAAAATTTGCTTGATGAAGATTGTCGAAAGACCATTGACCAACTTTCTGAGGAAACGAACATCTCATGGAGCANGACAAACCACTTAACTCAGACTGACGCCAGCTCACTAACAGTCGCGGGAGACCCCCAGCTAACACCACCTAGCAGCACAACTCGTGTAACTACAAAGCATGCGCGCACAACAGGTCGGTTCCGGTTATTTTTGGGTCCCCCCTCGTACTATATGTGATGAAATATTGAATTAGGTTCAGAAGGGTTCCAACATTTATGTATAACGATATATGATATAAACTCCATCCTAATTGCAACAATTTATTGTAGGTCTTTCGTCTTGCTTTCTTTTACACTACATGTTTCAGCCACAAACGGCCATCGTCAGGTGTATACACTTACATAGCTGTTACACTGCACTTAGTTTAAAATTTTAAACACCAGTCTTCCCAGTTGTTCCCTTCATCATTGCTGACAGAATGTACTTCGCTGATATTTGTCTGATTCGTACATTNGCCAATTCATGAAAGTCAAAATTGATGTGTGTAGGTAACAAGGATAATGTACGAATCAGACAAATATCAGTGAAGTAGATTCTGTTAGCAATGACGAAGGAAACAATTGGGAAGACCAGTGTTTTAAATTTTAAACTAAGTGCAGTGTAACAGCTACGTAAGAGTATACACCTGATGATGGCCATTTGTGGCCGAAACATGTAGTGTAAAAGAAAGCAAGACGAAGACCTACAGTAAATAGTTGTGCTTAGGACGGAGTTTATATCATATATTGTATAGAGTGCAACAGGATGCTTAAATATAATATTTGTGTATAACACTTGGAATTGCTAGGTTTTTGGACTTCGTTCATCATTTGGTATTCTAAAAAAGTGGGATCTGTTTCCATCCTCAGTTGGGGGGGAGGAAACCTGAGGATGGAAACAGATCCAGTTACCGAAACGTTGCATTCTCTAGGTTTTAGAATACCAGATGATGGACAAAGTCCAAAAATCCAGTATTTCCGAGTAATTGATCATTGTTCACCATCACCTGAATTAGGTAACTCATTTTCATAACAGCAGCTTCATTGCATTTTGCTATAAAATTTACCTTCTTTGTTTTCTATGAAGTGTAGTTGGGCTCCCCCCATTCTTTCTTCCTTTGTTTTTGATCATTCACCTATCTCGCTCTGCCTGTGTAACCAGGCCTCGCTCCACCTCACCTGGAGATGGCGACTGCATGTGCCATCTGCAAGACTAACAGTTTCACAGCCTGGAAGACCACAATCTGAATGCTCAGTGCTATGAGAACTTGGGAATTGATATGCTTATGTTTCATTTCCTGATCAAAATAGTTCCAAACAAGGAGCTACCTTGTCATCACTCTTGCTTCAGAATGTGCCATAAGGAACTTTTGAGTATATTGTCACATGTAGGGGTGTACACGTGATGAAATGATGGGTTATAGTTTGGATGATTTGATTTATTGACAGCTTGGTTACACGCACTCTCTCAATTCAAATTACAGCTCTTATCACTGATTCACACACACACCTCTTAATCCACTGTTGCATCGCACACATAAAGTCTTCTACATCACACTTGACATTCTCATAGGCAATTTCCTGTATTCCTTGATCCGCTTCGCTTGCTTCCACCACTCTCATCTGCTAGACTTCAACTCATACTGAATACTCCATACTCGTAGCTCGTACTTAAACTGACTACTCAATACTGAATACACCATCCTCAATACTGCATAATCAATAGTTGTACTCAGTACTTGAACTCATACTGAATACTGGCTGAGTAGTGTTCGCTGCTCCTTATATAGGCTCAGCACAGATCACATAGAAAACACATTGCTGCTTGGCAGTGGATATCAGGTATTAAAATATATGCCATAAAGAAAGACAAGAAAGCTCTGTTACATGCTTGTGAAGAAGTTTGTCTACAAGTAAGCACACAGAAAACTAGGTATATATTTATGTCTTGTCACTAGAATGCAGAATAAAATCATAATATAAATATAGCTAACAAATTCTTCAAAAATAAGTTTAAATATTTAGGAGCAACAGTGAAAAATCAAAAAGTGTATTCACAAAGAAATTAATAGCAGATTCAATTTGGGAAATGTTCAGATCAGAATCTTTTGTGTTCCTGTCTCTGTTTAATAATGTAAAGATTAAAATATACAAAACTGCAAATTTTCCTGTTGTTTTGTATGAGTACAAAACTTGATCTGTTGCTTTTTTTTAAGCATCCTGTTATGTATACTATATGATATTAAAGTTTTTGTACCATCACATAACGTTTGATTATTGTATAATAAAACAAGTGAGAGCAAGTGAAAACAATAGGTCAGTCAGTTTGTTATATTGCTCACACTATGTTAATGGTGAGTTATATGATGAAAATGGACCCATTTTCAATGTCATAAAATATGCCATATTAAGGGATGAACGTAAATTGAGATTATTTGAGAACAGGATGCCAAAGAAAATATTTGGACCTAGAAGGACGGCAGTGCAACTGTTCAACTCAGTACCACAGCTCACATCTTGCTGAATGGTCCATACATATCACTGTATACATGGAAGGATCAGGAAGCTTGCTGAATTCAGCCATAATTTTTAGTAAAACAATGTGTAAAAAATCTAAAATACACAGCAGATATTTGAACTTTATCTCCACAAACTTGCATTGAGACCTACAGGAGTTTCTGCAGCCGATTTCCCTGGTTTGCAACAGAACTTGATGTTCACTCGCTGTTTGGACTGAGACACTGCAGTGAGCACTGGCCACACACATCAACTGCACTGCCAACTGTTGCACACAAACGTGTCTTGTCAGTTGAAGCTTTCTCCACAGATAGCGCACAGGCCGCTCCTGTACACTTCAGCCCCTTCACTTTAACAGGACGCACTCTTATCTCAGTATCACTAAATTCCTTTGAACTATTTGTTCCTCCATCACGTATTTAGGATGATCAAATTAGGGAGAATGAGATGGTTAAAAAAAAAGGTAGAGATGCCCCTGTAACATGCTATGAAGGCCCATAAGGTTGTGAGAGGTCAGTGATCCCACATTATCTAGACACTGGGCTCACAGATGGCAGTAAGATTGTCAGCCTTATGCACTGGTCGCCCTTTACCCCCAGGAAAATTCCTGGTACTTAGTTCTGTTAAGAGTCTTAGTTGATCCCAGGGCCATAGTGCAGCTGGAATGATTAGATCAATTGAAAAACCCAATGACCTCATCCGGATTTGATCCCGTGACCTTCCTGTTTGCAGCATAGTTTCTCAACCAAATATGCTACTGTGTCAGGCATGTAATGCATATGGGAGAGATGATACATGCATACAAACTGAAAGAATTAACTCCAGGCTAGCAGATATGGTGTGCAACAAATCAATTTCCTTCTGTCACACTGGCAAGCACAAGAGCCATAGAAACAGAACACTGATCTCCTGCCAATACTGTGTTATGCCACTGTTCATTAAATGCACAGATTTACTCTTTAAGGCAGTGGTTCCCAAAGTGGACTGTACCGCCTCTTTGGGGATGGTGGGATTACCTGGGGGGGGGGGGACTGGATGTTGGCCCCTTTAATTTTATTTATGATTGAAGTGACTTTAGACCTGACACTGGGAAACTGGTGTCACTTCATCAAGCCTCAAGAATTTACTAGCAGTGAAGTAGTTACTAAATGAGCTATCTTATTTTATCATTATTATCTAAGCTGCAGTTAAAGCAGCTACCAAAGCAGATATAAAATTACCTCAAAACTGGTTGGGACTGCCACCAATCCCTCATACAACTGGCCAAACATAACAGAGTTCAACTGATATGGGTGCCAGGTCATAAGGGTATTGTTGGTAATGATGTGGCAGATCAACTGGCAAGAACAGGATCTGAACATCCGTTCAGAGGACCTGAACCAGCTTGCAGCATCTCAGTTGGGGTTGCCAAGAAAGTGGTCAGGGACTGGACGAACAGAATTCACACAAAAAAGAACACTGGGAATCTGTAACTCGACTCAGACAGGCAAAGGGACTTATACTAGGGTCCTCTGCCAGAAGAATGAAGGATCCGTTGAAATTAAACGGAGACCAATTAAAATGGCTGGTACGATTACTTACTGGACACTGTCACTTGAAAGTACACCTTTTCAAACTGGGACTGACAGATGACCCCATTTGCGAAAGGTGCCTAGAAGAAGAAGAATCAGCCTCACATACCCTATGTGAGTGTGAGGTCATGGCTTATTTAAGATTTCGTCACCTGGGCCAGTTCGTTATAGAACCAAATGGCTACTATAACGCCCCCATAAACAAAGTCCTACATTTCATTCAAAGTGTAGAATTGATAAAGGGTTAACCTAAAAAGGGAAGTGCAATAGATCATTGAATGACCTATGCAAGGGCTGGATTATTATGGCCCACATTTCATATATTCATTCATTCATTCATCGTTATTATCTTCCTTAGTGGGTTGTGCAAACCGCTGTTCTGAAGAATGCTTTTTATAGATGAGGGCAGGGCACACTGCAGATGAGTTTATGGAACCAAGGATGCAGTGGTCTGAAAAAGTTCATCAGCCAATACTTTAAAGAGTCTTCTCCGTTTAGTAATGCTTGTTTCTCCTTGTTTGTAAGTGTACATTATTTCAGTTCATGAATGACATTTATAGTACTGTTTTCCATGCCATTGTCTACTGAATGTAGACTTTTGTTGTGTTCTGACAGGCAGCACTTCGTGGAGGGAAATTGAAGTTAGGTGAATGTGTGAGACTGATGTACACAGTTGGTCGAGTCCTTGCTGTGCTTCCTGTGGACAGCATTATGCATTATTTGAACCAGCTGCTCATGCCATATGTGGAGGAGTTGCAGTATCTAGTCACACTTGAGGCAAGTAAAAGCTGTGTGCCAGGCGTAATATACAGGATCAAAAGCTTATTGTCTTCTGCTGTGGGTATCACCATATAGGCTGGTAGATATTGGCTGACATCTCTCAGTTTGGGGCATGGAGGGGAGCATAAGGAGAAGAAGGGCTGAGACCAGAGCCCCTAGTAAACCAACAGAAGCAAGGAAAATGGTAGAGCAATAAGGGATCCTTGAAAAGGTCACTTTCAAATGGTAGAGAGGTTGAGAGAAGTAATAATACCCTTTTAAGTGTCCCATATTCTGTTATAATTCTTCTTGCTCCTGTTGGTTAGCTTAAGCCTTGGGTACCCCTATTTACTTCATCTACACCACTTTCTCCTTGCTTCTCTTATTCTGGTTACCAAATATCTACCAGACTAAATGGAACCACATTCCAGAACACAGCTGTCCTAATGCTTACCACCCTATTTTGTAAAGAATCAGTGTTATTCATTTCTAATTTTGATCGTTAATTGAAGAAAAAAATTTTTGATCTGCATCTCTTATGCCATTGTATTAGATATCTTGTAGTTACAAAGGCTGTGGAAAGCCCGAAATCTGTGTTTCAAAGAAAAATATCAGGTTTTCATATTTAGGAACAAGCCATATGAGCAGGAGTGTTGAAGGTACCATATTCTCCTTGAATAACATGGGCACTCTTTTTGTATAACATTTGCTTTGAGAATCTGGGTGTGTGTGTTTTATTTAAAGATTACATTTCTATTGCTTTCAGTCTTTGCCCAAATCAGTGTATCACAGGCCAGAGTATTATTATTCTGTAATGTAATTTAAGGAATGAAATCTGTTTAATAATTGATATAATTTCAGACAGCTCGTTACATGTCCTTCAAAAATTTATACAAAATATCAATGCATAGAGAAAGAATATTATTAGAAATACTTACACAACTGCAACTACTGTATTCTGTCTTGTAGTACCCAGGAGTAGGGGGCATTGCATGACTCATATTTTCCTTATGAGAAGTACTCAATAGAGATTTTCATGGTTAATTTCTTTTCTTCAAAATGAATTTAGGAATAACTTGAGCACGTAACATCTTCATTCAACTTCTGGTATGGAACATCATGACTCACTTAGACTTTGGAAGAGTTTGCTGCAAGTAACCAGCAAGAAGTCAACACTGAAGGCAGTAGCAGTGCAGTTCTACCAGACTACATGTCACTGCCATAATGACCTCAGCAGCTTCCAATCACATTGTTCCTTTGGTCTGATGAAACTAAACATGTCATAAGCCTGGCAGTGGAAGTAACTTCTGAGCTGATTTTGTAAAACTTGGTATAATGTCATGTCACTTCAGGCCTCCATGTCTTTGTTGCTTTTAATTTCCTGCCATCAGTACTGTCAGCCTGGCAGATCTGGCAAACTTCCAGGCAGCACTAGTACCACTTACTGTTGACCTTTTGAATTGTATATGTTAATTGATCTTTGAAAAAATGTGCAACTTTCATTAGTTATGTAAGATTTGAGGTTTTCACGGCGGTGACTATGAAGAGTGCCATCTTCTGGGATGTGGTGTTGTGTAGATCTTGTGTGAACCGACGTTTCACAGGAACGTATCGCCTCCATCTTCAGGAGTCAGAGAGTCAGCACACTCTGCTTCAGGCCGGTTTTTTTGCTTGTCTTCCTTTTTAAACATGAAGATGGATGTGACATGCTCCTATAAAATATTAGTTGACTTTCAACTGACTACAAGGCTTTATATAGCAGAAGATATAACTCTTCAATATAATTATTTAATTCTAGTTTCTGCTAGCCTCATGTAGACCTTCAGGGTGCCCTGAAGATGGGGAAAACACATTCCTCTGGAATGTCTGTGAAGACCAACTGGACTACATGGCATCATATCCTAGAGGACAGTACTTACCATAGCAGATACCATGATTTCTTTTTGGAAGCTTATCCAATGCATATTTTACTACCAGATTTTGCAGGTACTTATAAAATTGAAGAGTGCCATCCTCTGGGATGTGGCTCTGTGTAGATCTTGTGTGAACCACTTGAGGTTCACACAAGATCTACACAGAGCCACATCCCAGAAGACGGCATTCTTCATAGTCACTACCATGAAAACCTCAAATCTTACTTATTAAATTGGATTAAAATCGTAACAGTGGTTCTCTGTTCATTGTAGCCCAGTGCAGCAGCAAAGGCTGGCATCCTTTTAAGGATGAAGATGCTGAGTATGTTATTTGCAACACTAGACATCAAACCACGGACTGAGAATGAGACAGAACCTGATGTGTCAGAGGGCTCCGACGTGGGAACTTGTACCACAGTACAGCAAAAGACTCCACAGCAGTCAGCTGCTCCTGGAAATAATGAACAGGTTCAGCCTGTGTTTTTTGTCCTGCAAAGAATCTTGCCTGTCATGCATGCTGCTCTTGATAAGTGGTATGCTGACACGCACGTTGTGCAGGTATGGAATAACAACTTGTTCTTATAGAAAACAAAATATATGTGACCGAATATCAGGATTGAGTGACTAGCATTCCTGCTTCAGATTCAGGAGCTCCGAGGTTTGAATCTAATCTGGATACCATCTGCCCTGGTCGAGATTTTCCACAGTGTTGCATTACACATGTTGAGATAGTGTCTTAACAACCTGCATGACATTCTACCTTTCAACATTATGTAAACGATACAGTTGAAGAAAGGGGCATGTGTTAGCATACTTGGTTGAGGCACTATGCTACAAGCTGGAAAGTCATGGTTTTGATTCCTGATGAAGTCATTGGATCTTTTGATTGCCCTAATCCTTGCAACTACACTAGGGCTCTGGGGTTGACTCATCCTCTAACAGAAATGAGTACCAGAAATCTTCCTGGGGGGTGGCCAGCATGTAAGGCTGACAACCTTGCCAATTATCTAGAGAAAATGTGGGACCCTTGTAAAGAAAGAGAGAGAGAGAGAGAAATTTAATGACATATCAAATTTGAAGTCTGAAATTTGGATATTCACATGTGTGCAGTAAAATTTACTTTATTGAACCCAATTCAGTCTGCCTGTGCACTTGATACACAAGTCATGATATCCTTCTACTGGCTCTGTGTAGCAGCAGATTCTGTGTGGCCTAATTTTTTTCTGTGATTTGCGTTTCTTTCACACAGAACTGTTTATTAAATTTTATTAATAAGTTGTATATTAAAAAACACAATAGTGGTTCATCGTTGAATGTGTGTCATTCCTTTGACTTGGCTGTGCTCTTAGGTCCTCCAAATAGTTATTGCACCTGATGAATGTTGAATTTTGCAGGCATTGTGCTCAGCTCTGAAGCATGCACTGGCAACATTGCTAGATGACTGCAAACCTCTTGTGCCAGAAATATTGATGCTGATACTGAAGAGTTTCCAGCTGCAGCCGCATCCTGCTGCTTTGGATCTAGCCAGACAGGTACAGAAAGTACTCTAGAAGTTGGAATCAGGTGCACCAAAATGCAAGAAACAATTATGACTATAAATGTATGATAGTTAAAAGTAAAGTTATCTCTGTGCTTAGGCACTGGGCTAGGAATATATTTGGAGGAATGGAGGTGAAGCTCCACACACTTCTAATGTTGTTACAAGGTGGAGGTAAGTAATCAGCTGCACACTTTGGTCACTTTACCCATAAGGAAGGACTTGTGATATTGTGACATGTAGACCCATTGCTAGGGAACAGATTGGCAAAATACGTTTCTGTGGAGATGGATTCTTGGAAACCAGCCCATTAATGGGGCAACATATCCATGGATACGGGGTATGGGTGGCAAAGAGGTTTCCATGGAGGTAGATTCTTGGAAACCAACCCATCACTGTGTTAGATGTTTCCTTGGATAAAAAAAGAAAGGTGTTTTCTGTCAGTCCATCCTGACATTATATAACAGGAAAGAGATCAAGCAATACTACCACAGTCAATAATTTCGTGGAATGACCGCAAAGCATTGTTGCAGTGCACTACAGCGTATAGGTTGAGGCATGATGTGATGCCCTGTCAGTTCATCTTTCGTCACAGCAAGCGGCAGTTGTGTGCAAACAGCGTAAGCAGAACTATGGCCTCTATTGTGAAATGCAGTTAAATGCAAGTGGCGAAAATCGAAAATATGGCAGTTTGAACATTAGGCAAACATCAAGTTTTGCCAGAAACTAGGCAAATCCCCTAGCGAAACATTTGGCATAGGAAGAATTGGCTGTTGCTACACGATAACACCCCTGCACATCACTCTGTTCTTGTCCAAGAGGAACTGACAAGGCAACAGGTCATCGTTTTGCCATACCCTCCGTACTCACCTGATCTCGCACCATGCGATTTCCTTCTCTTTCACCACTTGAAAGCAAAGCTACGTGGTCATAGATTTCAGTCATTCGAGGAGGTCGTTAATGCCACAAGAGACACCTTGCGGGAATTTCCTGCCAATATGTTTCAGCAGTGTTTACAGCAGCTGTATCAAAGTTTGCAGACTTGCATAGTGGCCAACGGCAACTGTTTTGAGGGCCGATGTGGATCTGTATAATTGTATGTGAATGCCTTGTAATATGATGTGGTAAGACCACAGTCCACGAACATAACGACTGTACCACGTAGATCAGAATGGATCCAGTTGTAGATGAGATCAGAATAAGAGAGTCCAGGCAGAATGGAGAGAGATCAGATCAGAATTGAGTAAGACCTAGGCAATCAGGGAGGAAGGGTTTGGCTGAAGATTTATTGTGAGTTATCATAATTTTATGAGTGATTGTATGAGGAGTGACCAATAAATCAGATCCAAACCCCATCTTATAAGTCACCCATACACATGACAATATCAGTTGCCTGGGAAACTGAGAAGGCCTACAGCCAGTCTGGATTTTGCCAAAGAGGAAAGACCCTATCCCCAGTTGTCCGGCCCATGAGCAGTCACTTACTAAACTTCTCTTTAAATACCTATTGATGCATTCCTCCCTGCATTGTAAGACATATTTAGTGAATGTTGTATTGTTATATTGTGATGAATTTGATCAAAATTAATGCTCAGTATTGTAAAGAAAGTGAGATGACATTTCACTATTCCTCTTATTTGTTCTTCAGAGAATATCCATGGATAATGGATGATTTTAAATTAAGTGTAATTTATGCATGTCATAATTTGCAGTTGTGACCAGTCATATCTTACTAGTACATTTTGTGCTTGTATCACATATATGGCTTGAAATTGTGGTTGTATTGTGAGTGAAGCAAGTTATTTAGGAAGCTAGCAAGCAGAAATTCATAGTATTCTTTAATTTTAATTGTTTAATTGTGAGTGCATGGAAGTGTCCTTGTACTATGTATATATGTAATTTGGTGCTAATATATTGGCAGTAACATACCAGCTCCCTTCTTTTATGTCATCCATGGAGTGACTAGATAATGAAATTAAAATCGAATTACTGCACAAAGTTTTGAAATTTGCTGTTACTGACCGGTTTCAAGCATCCCAATGATATACAGAAATATGTTTGTTCATCATTGATATGGGAGAAGTTATTAACATTCATTATTATATTTTGAAGTGATAGTATGGTCTTACAAGATCTTTTGAAGTTCTCCCATTTTCAAAACTAAAACTCATTTGAACAGTCACAAATAAAGTGTTCCTTTTTTTTATGGATTTTTGCGTGGCAAATAAATTGTTTGTTTGGTCAGTAGGCATTATCATCATTTTTCAAGCCCAAATCACAGATATCACTGACAATAAAAACAAAGCATTTTGTAGAGCACTATCTTCTACTACACCATGTAGTCCATTGGAAGTTTACTGATGTTTTGGAGGAATATATCGCCTCCATCTTCAGGGTTGAAGAACAAGCTGAGCAAGAAACTAGCATGAATATGGGTGGCAAGCAGAGTGGGGCAATTGACTTGCAACAGACTGCACAGTGGAGTACTCTATGTAATCACCGCTCTGAGAATCGCAAATCCTGCACAAAAAGTTTTGTTCATGTGTTTTGCAGTTTCTTGTGATGTACAGCAGGGATAAGTCCCAGTTGCCTCTGATGGAATCTCTGCTCAGGGAGCTGTGTTCAGTCACCCTAATGGCCTGTATTGGCAGCTCTGACATCCCAGGTGGTGGTGTGTCTGATCATGCTGACCTTTTAGAAGCGTTTTTTAATCTTCTTGCACAGATCCTTAAGAAGAACCCACAGCTGTTTGTTAGTGGTGAAGGAGTCGACCTAGCTGCTCTCTTTCAGTGTGGTGAGTTTAGGTGCTCATTTAATTACTCTGTGGCGGCCTCTGGCCTGCAGGAGAGGAACGGAAAGAGCAGTCAAAGGAAATCGCCAGTGTTCGTAATGGAAGGAGAAGTAATAACAGTTCAGCAACAAGTATAGCATTTGTAAATATGTTCATGGGATTTATTTTCGGTGAAACTGCAATAGAACGAGTGTAGCTTATAATGAGAATTTCATTATAATGATAAGAAAGATTTCACCACCAGTTTCTTAATGTTACAAATACAGAGAAATCTTGTATAAAATGAGGGCATTTATTTGTCGCTTTCTTCATAATGAATGATCCCTAGCCAGCCCTAACTTACATTCTGCAACTTTTTGCATGAACTGTAATTGCAGGTTTATATCTCAAAATATTTATAGCTAGTGGTCTATAAAAGTGGCGCTAAAACCACAGCCTGTGCATCTCCCTTGTTTGGGAGAGGAAGGTCTGAATTCAAAATTAGAACTGTGTTGTCTCAATACAAAATTTGCATGACCTTGGGACAGAAATGCCAAGTATACATGCTCAAGGCTGTTGTAATTTATGATCAAAACATACTAGCTGGCATTATTGAATAAAGGCATGAGAAACTCTTTAACTTCTTTGTTTACACAATACAAAAGAAGTCAAGAATGTTGAATTATTCCTCATTACAAGGGAGAGTCAGTAAATAGGTCACAGATGGAAGTAAATCAGCTGTAATGGATGTAATAGGTTTTCTGTGTGTATCACTCGGTAGCAGCACAATCCAGCTTCATGACAGTGTAGGTTACAAAAGTGCATGCACATGTTCAGAGGCTAGTTTCAGTAGTCAAAATTGTGACACTACTGAAGAGCAGCATTCTGTTGTGTGTGTTTTGTGGCCAGTAGGACTCGTTACAAACGATATTCATAATGAGATGTTTCCTATTTACAGTGGGAAGTGTTTGTCATGTAAAGCGCTTCACAACTGTGTCAAGAAATTCCCTCAAGGACGTTCAAAAGCAAGAGTTGATGTGCAAGCAGGTCACCTTGTTGAGATTGCAACAGAAGCAGCTGTGCAGCAGGTGGAAGACTTTATTTGAGCTGACAGGAGGATAATGATAGACAGTGTAGCAACAGCACTAGGGTGTTCCCAAGGTTTAAAATATCAGCGTAATGCATGATCATTTGAAGTTTCAGAAAGTGTGTGCACAGCGGGTGCCCAAACAACTGAAAGATCAAGAAAATGAAATGAGTCAAATTGGTCTGTCTTTGCAACATCTCTTGTGGTATGCAGATGAAGGAGAAGATATGCATAATAGGATTGTTACTGGGGATGAATCTTGGGTCCATCACTATTAGTACTATTAGCCTATTTTCAGAAGCATGGTGAAAATGTGAATTTTTCATCGTACTGTGAAATTCTGTTGAAGCTTCAGGATTAAATTTGCAGAAAACATTTAGAGCAACTGGCAAGAGGAGTACTGCTTTATCATGACAATGCCAGACCCCATGCAGCTCAAGCAACCCAAGAGAGAATTCAAGAACTACAGTGGGAATTTCTTGAACATCCACTTTACAGCTCACACTTGGCTCCTAGGGACTTCCATCTGTTTGGTCTGCTAAAAACCACCTTGGCAGCAAATGTTTCATTGATTATGAAGAGGTTGAAACGGAGGTGTGGAAGTGGCTGAGACAACAGTCAAAAGACTTATGTGCTGCGGGTTTTGATGCACTGGTAAAGCGATGGGACAAGTATGAGTTGGTGGAGGATATGTCGAGAAATGAACTTTTTTCCAGTTTCGAATATCACATGATTTATATCCATTTGTGACCTATTTACTGACTATCCCCCGTACTTTCGTTCCTGCATGAACTTCAGCAACTTAGGAAATATACACATATATAGTTTGACAATTCTAACACATCTGCTCTGTTACTGCTTATAGACAGCATAAAATCTGTGTTGTTTAATAATCATGAATACTGCAGGTTTTATGGGAAAATTGTGTTTTGTATATAAAATGTACATATTATTTCTATCTACAGCTTTTGTTCAAAACAGTTTACATACTGATAAATATTTAATAAGTTATATGCAAAATGCAGGCAGAAACACATCTTGGTCTTCATGTAAAGTATACATTATTATTGTCTGGCTTTAATGAAAATTGAAATGTATTGACCACTTTTAGTAAAAATACCCCAAATCAGATTTCAGGAAAATGTGTATAGCATTTCTTTTGTTGTTACATGCAGATGAACAGATGGACAGACTATGAGGCTAAGGCTTTTCATTTCAGATGCAACAGAAAGAATAAATATTGTCATACCTGTATTATTTTTAAAATTTAGTGTCATATAGGAATATGTCTAGTTAGAAGTTGGGCTGGGAGATTATGTATTTAAACCATTTTTAGGTGTTTAAATATGCATTATTTCACATGATCTCTCTAACCTTTTTCTATTAGTTGTAACTGCTTACTCCTAATTACAGTTATCTTAAGTCCTTTCAGTGACATTGTAATAACACTGTATGTAAGTTTCTTCCTTTATTATGTTGGTTTCCTTTGTCATGACGGCCACTAGTGGCTGAAACAAACAAAACAAACCTGTGGTCTGTAGTTCGCAAGTGAACTATACTGGCCAAGTGACCGCCGCTTGCTGGCGAAGTTAGGCAAAAAGATTTTAATTCCTGTTTTATATATCAAGAGATTGTAACAGTCAAAATGTCCTTTATGAAGATTTTTACTTATTTTTCTGGCTGCACCATAGCTCAAGCGGTTAGTCACTGGCTTCCCACCGCAGTGGCCCGGGTTCGATCCCGGGTCTGGTCAAGTGGGATTTGTGGTGGACAAAGTGGCGCTGGGGCAGCTTTTCTCCGAGTACTTCAGTTCCCCTGCCAATCTTCATTCCATCAAATTCTCCATCATCATAATCACCCGGTGCAGGCTACAATTGGCCAATCAGTGGCCGCCGTACTTAGTGGACCCATTTGGACTACACCCCCCCACTAAGCGAAATTAAAATTTACTTATTTTACAGGAACCATGACACTTTCTTTGCCAGAGGTACCTGCAGTGAAAGCTGCCACGTCCTTTCTGGTAAATTTTGTATCACAGAGTAGAGAATTACCTCAACTCTTAACAGTGGTACAGGCCTATGGAGAAGAATTAGTGCAGAGGCTTCTTCAGTGTATCGGTGTGTAACTTCAAGACTGTTTTATGTTGTATCTAGATCAGGTTCAAAGTCCCACTTTATTGTAATTCCAGCCCCAATGTTTCTGCTCAGACCAAAACCTGCCAAATTCCCTCTATATTATTGATTATTCTAGTCTGCACACTTTTTGCTGTGAATGTGGTAATATGGATGTACTAAGCCAATTTCTCCATCTGCATCCACTTTTTTTATACATAGTCTCCTAGGGTGTGAATCCATATGCAGTAAAAGTTGAGACAAGACAGAAGAGCTTGCTGGATGTAATAATTTTATGGATATTAGAAAGTTATAGCTTTGTGTGCCTAGCAACCTCATGGACAGACTTAACCATTTAATTTGTCACTTGATATCCTGTCGTTTTCCCTGCCAAACTTTATATTCCCTTTTCATCACTGTGTACATAACATGGTGCATATACAGGTGTAAATAATTATATGTTACAATGCTCTGTGATAGATGGGTTCAGTGTGATCATATTTTGTTAATGCACAAATGTCCAGAAACACTTCCATTGTGGCACTAAGGGCCACAAAATTTTCCGATAGGATGCATAAGTTTTAGTGGATGTTATCCTTGTTTTAATTGGGGCATGCAGTAGCGTAGTTGGTTGAGGCACTATGCTACAAGCCGGAAGGTCATGGGTTCAAGTTCTGATGAGGTTGTTTGATTTTTTCAATTGACCTAATCCTTCCAGCCGCACTATGGCCCTGGGGTCTACTCAGCCTCTAACATAAATGAATACCAGGAATATTCTTGGGGCTAAAGGGCAGCCAGCGCATAGGGCTAACAACCTTGCCACCATCTATGAGCTGATTGCCTAGAAAATGTGGGAACCCCAACATCTCACAACCCTATGGGCCTCCACAGCCTGTTACAGGGGTACCTTTACTTTACTTTTTATCCTTGTTTTACATTATAAAAGTTGCTCAAAATGGCAGCTGTTGACTTCATTGCGTGTTCTGCTCCACCTGGCTACGTTAGACTGAACTCTTTGAAAGATTCCTGGATGGTTCCAGCTGCTACTGCAATTCTTGTCACGAGATCATGTTGTGTCTCCATTGGAGCCTCATACACCAGGCTTTGCATGTACCCCCAGAGAAAGAAATCCACTGGAGTCAAGTCAGAGGAGTGAGAGGGCCAGGTTATTGGGCCTTCATGTCCAATCCATCTGTTGCCATAGATGTCATCCAAATACTCATGGATGACATTAGTGCAGTGTGCTGGGGCGCCATCATGCTAGAACCACATTTCACGACAGACTCTCAAAGGCACCACTTCCAACAGCTCAGGTAAGGTCTCTTGGAGAAGTGTTAGGTAAATGTCACCAGTAAGCCACAGAGGAAAGCGGCCTCCGTAGTCTAGAGGTAACGTTCCCACCTCATGACTCGTGGTACGCGGGTTCAAATACCCGGCGGAGGTCGTCGAATTTTTAAGGGCGGAAAAATTCAGGGAACAAGTCCTCCGGGAGGGACTTTAAGCTGTGTGTCCCGTGTCATAACTTTACAGCACGTAAAAGAACCTCATATCCCCAAAGGGGATCACTGAGCCAAATTGCAAGACGTTTCCCGCCCAACAATAGTCTCTAAGGCCTCTGATAGATGGGGGAAGCATTATAGACACCGCTAAGCAAGTGGCTGAACTCACTTGCTCGGCGGGACTGATGGTACGCACCATTTATCGGTAGGGTAAAGAGACTGGTAGAATATCATAGAGGGAAGCACAATAGATCAAACTGGTCGCAGTGCATGGGGAAACCCACCCTCTCTAAATAACTAACTAACTAAGCCACAGAGGAAAGAGGTGAGGTTGTCCTTCACATTTCAGAGGCCCTAGCGTGTAAACAACGCGTTTCTGGACGTGGGTGTATTAACAAAATATGGTCAGATTGAACCCATATACCACAGAGCATTGTAACATATTTAATTACACCCCATATAATCTAAAAGTCCAACAAGACAGCAATACTGCACTCTTTAATCGTCATATTCACAATTAGTCGATTTCCTGGATGATCCAGTGCCAAATATCAAAACTTTACTGCAGACTAATAAACATTCAGCCAGCATTTCAGTGGAACATACTGCCTTCATCTTCAGAATAGAAGAGTAAATCAACCAAGGAGCATCTAGAGTGCTAATTGTGCTTGTTGGTTGCTTTCTGGCATGCTTGCTTGTGTGCTTGGCTTACTGTTCAACCCTGCAGATCAAGACAGTATGTTCCTCTGAATCGTCCGAGAACTTCTACTATGTTACTTGATGTCACATCCCAGGAGACAGTCACTACTGTAATAACATAAAATTCGGTTATGTTTGTTCTCTGTCCTCTTTCTAACCTTCACATTTATGGAATAAATTGAAATGAACAGGTGCAGAGTAATATTTTTTTTAGATTTTTGACATCAGAACCTATGCTTATCTCTCTCAAAATATAATATGATAATATGTCTCTAAAATATTTTGTGGAACTGAATTTATCATCATCTCAAGCATGAGGCTTATTGAGGCCTGCTTCATTGATCAAGCTGGCTTAAGTTGTAGCACTTGTGACTTGTATTCAGGAGGTATGAGATTCAGATCCTAATTAGGACATCACCTGAGGTTTTTGATGGTTCTTCCCAGTCCCACCAGGCAAGTGCCAGGATGGGACCTCACAGTTGGCCATTTCATTAGAATTCATCATTCTTTAACCAACCTGCCATTCAGTATTACAGTCTGATTCTGACAGCCTCGTTACATAAGCACTAAATATATAAATTAATTAATTCTACAGTCTTTCAAACTGTATCTCACATGAAACTACAGGTAATTTTAGTCTACTTTCCTTATGTTGAATAAATAGAATGAGGCTTATGAGATCACCTTGCTGTCTGTCTGTGTATCCATCTGTGTAAACCCCCCAGTTTTTGTTAGAAACTTACGAGATCACCTCACTGTCTGTGTGACCCACCGCACACTTTGTGCCCCCCCCACCCCCCTTGTTGCTAGGCAATTTGCCCTCTGTATGCTCCCCCCCAACAATTGTGACACTGGTCATATTGAGTATGAAATTCTGCTTTTTGTCATTTTGCAGTAAGTATGCATTGATATGTTGACAATGATTGTATCTTGTGATCAGGTGGGGAATCCCCGAGATCTGTCTTGGAACATCTCTCAGACATTTTACTGGCTATGAACAAGAAACACTGTGACAACCTCTCTCGCTGGCTACATCAAGCCATCCATCAAGATGGCTTCCCTTCTCCCAGGGCTTCCCAAGAGCAAAAGGAGCAATTTGTTAAAATGGTGCTGAAGTAAGTCCTCATGAAAGTAAGAGTTTGGACTTCAAACTGCATAAATGTTTGCTACATTCTCTTGTATGTGAATATGAATAATAATATACGAGGAGCATTCTGTATATAATGCCTCCTACTTTTTTTAATGAAACTACAACAGATACAGAAAGCATAATAACACAGGTATAGAGTAAGATTTCAGCTACTTACAATTATTTTTCCACATAATGACCACCATTCTTTATGCACTTTTGCCAGTGATGAACAAGATCCTGTATGCCGCGCCCATGAAAGTCTGCACCAGCAGAGGCTAGCCACTTTCTTACAGCTGCAATGACAGCATCATTATCTGGAAAATATTGCCCATGTAGTCCATCTTTCATAGGCCCAAAGAGATGGAAGTCTGAAGGTGCTAAATCAGGGCTATAAGGTGGATATAGTAGGACGGTCCAGCCAAACTGGTATGGGGTCTAGCATTATCGTGTTGCAAGTGAAAGGGTGTCTGCTTCTCTGGCCTGACTCGGGGAAATGCAGGCTTTCAGCTTAGTCAGCGTCGTCTTGTAGCATTCAGAATTGACAGTCTCACCAGGCTCCAGGATATGCAACAAAATCACACCCCGCCTATCCCAAAAGACCATGCACATCACTTTCCCTGCCGATGGCTGTGTCTTGAACTTCTTTTTTCTTGGGGAATCTGGATGTTGCCACTCCATGGAGTGTCTTTTGGATTCTGGCTCCTAGCGGTGACACCACGTCTCATTTCCGGTTATGATGCTGTCCAGAAACTTGTCACTTTCAGCCTCAAACTGGTGCANTGAGAAATTCAATAACACATCTCTGTTTCGTACACACTTCTATGTCGGATCCCATTTTGGTAGACTGCTCTGCCGTCGCTATCTGTCGCACGACAACCAAAGTAACAGTGCACTGGTGGGAAGGTTCAACCTTTACTACAACACCACCAACATCCAGCTCAGATGTTACATATTAACACAAAAAAAGGAGGCATTATATACGGAACGCCCTTCGTATATACAGTAGAACCACAATTGAAAGAGAAGGGCTTATATAACAGGAACTTCATTACAGTCCAAAAATCATTAGTGGTGTTAATTTCACAGTCTGTCATATATAGAAAATCCTCTCATAAAACGAGGGATTTTTTTACACTGTTGTCATGGGTGATTCATGACTATCACTTTTCCATAACTTTTTGGTTTTGTTTCCCAGACAGCTCACAATTGTATCAGTAACTTAACCTCTATGGGGCCGCACCATAGCTCAAGCGGTTAGTCGCTGGCTTCCCACCATGGCAGCCCGGGTTCGATCCCGGGTCTGGTCAAGTGGGGTTGTGGTAGACAAAATGGCGCTGGGACAGGTTTTCTCCGTGTACTTTGGTTTCCCCTGCCAATCTTCATTCCACCAATTGCTCCACAATCACGCTCACCTATCTTCTGGGGCTGGTACAATAGGCCAGAAGTGGCCGCAGTACAAGGGACTTAGTCCCACCCCACTAGCAATACAAAAATCCAAAAAATACAAAAACTTAACCTCTAGGCCTCTCCCTTGTATACAAGAAGTCTGCATTCCAGAGTCGGAATACATCTGCTGTTATGTCTGAATGGAGAGTTTACTTGACCTGAAGGCAGAAGTGTGTAGCACACATGCATATTTCTCTAGCTGATATGTTACTGAAAACATCATCTGACTCCTCAGAATTTTATATAGTCACAGTAGTTGAGAGAAGCCATGGTAGCATAGTTGGTATAGCGACTGGCTGCAGGCTGGACGACTGAGGGGTTGGAGTTCAAGTCCCAGTAAGGTCAAGAATTTTCTGTTCTCCAAATCGTCCAGACCAGCTCTGGGGTCCACCAAACTTCCTATCCAGTGGGTACCAGGGGTAAAGTGACCAGGGCATGAAGCTGACCACTCACCTGCAGCTAGTGCCGAGGTCAAGAAATTGTGGAACTATACATCCACTCCTCCCATACACCTTCATGGCATAGTGCTTAATTCATTGAGCACAGGGACAGTTTTGCCTTTTACCTTCACAATAGGTGACAGTAATTTCATGACTGTTTAGCATGACTTTACACTTTCAAGTTCAAATCCCCTCAAACATTTTATAGCAATGAGGAATGTCCATCGTGTAGCATCATCTTACTTAACCTCCCTTCATTTCAGCAACTTGTTTTGTTGTTTATTGTGTCACATGGCTAGTGATGTGGGGGGGGGGACAAAATTTGTGATGTGGTTATACTTTAAAGTTAAAAATTATTCAGTCCTAAATATAGCATGAAACAGAAATGCCTAGACTTGAGTATGAATTTAACGTCCATGTATTTATCGTCCGTCAGTATTGCAACACTTTATTTACCACTTAATCTTAATTTCGGTTTAACATTTTACACTTTGACACGACATGTTTCGGCCCCAAACGGCCATCTTCAGGTGTCTTGATATGTTACAAACATTTTATTAAATTATGTTAAAACTGCTACACTGTATTAGTTCATGTTAAAATCGCATGCTGTAGTTCTCTTTTCAAGGTAAAACAGGATAAAATCCATTAACCTTTATCGGACAAACGTCATCATATGATTTCGTTAAATGTTAGGGCAGCTGAGCGAACGACATCATATGATGTCGCGGATTCCACATGTGTAAGGTTTTTTTTAAATTAAATTAAAAATATAAATTATTGTTCTATTTACATGATTTTTGGTCACCACCTTTATAAGGAGATAGCCTTCCTTCCTGCATGATCTAATGTAATCTAGCGACGTCATATGACGTCAGAAGTAAGGCCAAATGGCTGAATGACATCATATGATGTCGCGCATTCCACATGTGTAAAGATTTTTTAAAATTAAATTTAAAATATAAAGTGTTGTTCTATTTACATGATTTTTGGTCACGACCTTTATAAGGTGACAGCCTCCCTCCTGCATGATCTAATGTAATCTACCGACGTCATATGGTCGAACGACCTCATATGATTTCGCGCATTGCACGCGTGTAAAGATTTTTTTAAATTAAATTTAAAATTAAATTTTTGCTCTACTTACGTCATATATGTTCACCATCTTTATGAGGAAACAGCCTTCCCTCCTGCGTCATCTATGGTAATGTGGCCTTCGTATGGTACTGCCGAAAACATTCTGAAATGCAGAGTCCGACGTCGCACCTCACGCACTT